CGAATAAGGTGGTCAAAGCAGTAAGGGAAAGAATTCGAAGAAATCCTGTCCGAAAGCAAAAGATTTTATCTCGGGAGATGAAGATAGCACCTAGAACCATGTCGCGTATTTTAAAAGATGACTTGCGACTTGCAGCCTATAGGAGTCGTACTGGTCATTTTTTAACTGATAATTTAAAAGAGAATAGGGTGGTAAAATCGAAACAACTACTGAAGCGGTACGCAAAGGGAGGTCATTAAAAAAATTTGTTTACGGATGAGAATTTTTTTACAATTGAACACATTTTAACAAAAAAAATGACCGTATTTATGCTCATTAGTCGACAGAGTGCAACGTGGGCACTATCCGACTTCAGTGATGGTTTGGTGGGGTATTAGCTATGAAGGAGTAACTGAGCCATAGTTTTATGAAAAAGGTATCAAAACATCGGCACAAGTGTATCAAGATACCATTCTTGAGAAGGTAGTGAAGCCCGTTAACAACACCATGTTCAATAATCAAGAATAGTCCTTCCAGCAAGACTCGGTGCCAGGTCATAAAGCTCGGTCTACGCAGTCTTGGTTGGAAACGAACGTTTCGGACTTCATCAGAGTTGAAGACTGGCCGTAGTCTAGTCCCGATCTTAATTCGCTGGATTATGATTTATGGTCAGTTTTAGAGAGTACGGCTTGCTCTAAACACCATGATAATTTGGAGTCCCTAAAACAATCCGTACGATTGGCAGTGAAAAATTTTCCCATGGAAAGAGTGTGTGCTTCTATTGATAACTGGCCTCATCGTTTAAAGGACTGTATTGCAGCCAATGGAGACCACTTCGAATAAGCTTTTTATACTTGTTGTTTTATATTTATGTATAACAAACACACTGTAAAAGTAATAAATGTTATTTGCAATAGATTTTTTTTATTTTTATTGTAACAGTATTTATGGCCAGACTAAGTATACATCATGTGCGCGAACAACAAAAATAATTCATTTTTATTTTGTAGTGACGCGTGGCGTATGTCCTTAACCTCTACCGGAGTAGTTGGTACCTGTATCTTTAACGTACTTGGTCTAGTTTTGTACTCGTATGTGTATCTCCACGACTCGCAGAATGCACCAGAAAATCTTTCTTATTATATATATCTTTCTTGTTATGAAAGATATATATAGTTATAATGATGTATGGTGTGGTTGTTTATTTCCCCTACCCATTCGCTAGTAACCTAGGTGATTATTCCAGTTAAGTGCGGACGGGTAGGTGAGGTCACCGACTCAACCTGAGAGAATTTACAAACACCAGTCGTAACAAGGGCAGTGCTTCGCTGAATCTGCCACCGGATCGAAATCGCGAGCCACTGAGAAGATCCGCCGATAAAATGAGTGGCTGCAGTAGTGAAACTCGGCCACGGCTCGCCACGACTCTCAATATAAAATGCATTTCTTGGCATTACTTGCCAAGAGTGCACATAGTAATGAGCAACAGATGTTAGTCAGTCAGTGGTCAACGTGCAGCGATCCAACGCAGTCGCTAACGCGAATAAACATGTAATTATAAGTAATGTTTTATTGACCGCTCCGATGAGGTTTCCGCAGGAGAGCGCGCAGTAAACCCTTAACACAGTACTGTCTGTAATCACAAAATTAAGTCAGAAACTATAAATAATATTTCATGAGCCCTGGATTATCATAAAACGTATCTTTAATCAGGACAATATTAGGTTCGGGAAACCCCACAGGAGCACAGCGTGGTTCCTCGTGTCATGAAGTGTAATATCTCCGGTACGCACAGTTCCGGTCGTCACGCCACGTCACGGCACGCGGCAACGGTCGGCTGGGCATTCTGTATGCGCACGTCGACGCGGCCGCGCCACTCTGTCTCGTTAATTGACAAAAACTCTCCAACATTTACTTACCTACTTCGATGTATATTGTTTAGCAGTGTGTAACTATACTGAATATTATATTTATACTAAAATCAATAAATTCAAAATGTACGTGGAGAAACGGATACTGAGGAGAAAGGAGAGAAAGCTGCAGAGACGGGGTTTAAAACAAACTGCACTTACTACTTAAGTTAGTAGGACTGGAGTTAGGACTGGTAGGAGAAAAATAAACGGCAAAATATTAAAGCTCTGTCTAGCCACGCACCAGCAGCAGGGCTGCCCGATGCCGTAGAAGGCGACCTCCCTCCCGGTAAAAGTTACGATGCAACGGGGTGAGGCTGCGCGGCGCGCTACCTGTACTCTGGCGCGCTGAACATGGAAGCAGTTCACGGAACTACTTTCTAAGAGCAGCCGGTTGGTGGTGCATCTCGCTTTGACTTGTAGGCTAGTTGCCGTCCAGCGGGGTATTCTGGGATACCAACGGCACCGCCCGGGTGGCCTGGCGGGCTGCCGTATCGAGACAACCGACATAGAGTGGTCGGCTATCCCTTCGATGACCCGTCGGTCAGGCGTCCTCGGGGTGGTGCCGCGAGTCTGATTGTAGTGTTGACCGCGGAAACCCCCTTACTCTGCCTGGGTTCCGACCCCGGGTGGGGATCGAGCGTCGGGTGAGAAAGTGCAAGAGGAGTTGTTTTTTTTAATTTTATTTTTTTATTGCTTAGATGGTTGGACGAGCTCACAGCCCACCTGGTGTTAAGTGGTTATCGGAGCCCATAGACATCTACAACGTAAATGCACTACCTACCTCGAGATAGAAGTTCCAAGGTCTCAGTATAGTTACAACGGCTGCCTCGCCTTTCAAACCGAAACACATTACTGCTTCACGGCAGAAATAGACAGGGTGGTGGTACCTACCCGTGCGGACTCACAAGAGGTCCTACCACCAGTAAAATTGTTTGGTAGGTAGGGCCATAAAACATTATTGGGTCGGCGGCCTGCTCCTAACACATCTGTAACGTCTGCAGACCGTCGAGTGTCACATACCCTGCGAGCCCCTAGGCGCATAAACCTCGTATGAGGTTTGACCCCTGTCTGAAAAAAAAGGCTGCCCGGGCACTTCTTCTTTGGGCTTCGCTTCTTTGGGCCCGCTTTGTTGTGTGGTGTGTTGTGGACGGGAATGTTGACACTCACTATGTAGCTATGGTCTGTTGGATTAGATGACATGACTTCAGACCATCAAGTCCCACATACCCCGCGTGCTCCTGGGCCTGGATTCCTCCTAGGAGGTCCTACTCAAAAAAAATTCAAAAAGATGAGTATTGAACACAAGAGGTATCTACAATCTCATCGCTATTAGTAGTTTCTATGTGAAGTAGACTAGTCTATACCATGACAAGCAAATGGAATGTTGGAGCAGTTTCCTGTTTAAGTACTAATTGAACAATCGTGCGCTAACACAACTTCCTAATTACGAGTTATAAGATTTTGTAACATGTCTTTGTGTCGAACGGTGTCGTGGGAGCTGTAGGTACATACCGGCAATGTGCGTGATGATTTCATTGAATGAGAACGTGACACTATAACCATTGTGCGTTGACGTGTACCTATATTCTATCACGTAATGAATGAACGCATCGAGTCGTCGAGTCGACTGCAAGAGGCTAGCAGGGGCCGCGGAATGCGATTAGGATGGAGCACGATCGCCCTGACGACGGAAATAACACTTTCATTGAACAACTAAATGGACACCTCATTGATTGTCTGTGAGCATTTCGCAGGCACTCAATGATGACAGCTCATAAAGCAATTTAAATAATAATCTCCAACGCCAATATTTTCTAGTTTTCTCTATGAACAGAATGTACTTGTATTTTCATAAATAAAGTGAGAGGAAAAACTTCGTCCCTCGTATGCCGTGTTACATGTTATTCTGTAATGTGTAAAATGAATGATTAACAGAAGTACCAACGAGGCTATCGTGGATTCATTTATGGGCGATTTATTAAGCGTCTTCACGAGAGACATGCATGCAAGACCTTCTCCAACACCAATGACGGAGCATGCTGTGAGCACCTGCTGATCGATGCCTTCTTCTTGGCTATTCGTTCCCTGAAGCAGTCATGCGTTCCTGTATGAAAAGTTTATTATACCCTTAACAGAATGTCTGAAAATTTGTGCGGCGATGCTACTTTTTATTGTTATTGCTCTAGTAGGCAGACGGGCATACGGCCCACCTGATGGTGAGTGGTTACCGTCACCCATAGACGGATGGAAAAAGAGTCGTTATTGTGTTGGCCGCGACCATCCCTTACCACTCGTCCCGGGTTCTGTCTCAGGAAAGTCAATACATCAGGAGTAATCCATTCAACTTGGTCAAAAGATTTAGCCATTGTAACTTACGATCCACAAAGCCTAAAAACCAATAAACAAACAGACCGCACATGAGGTCATTATACCTAGTCAGGTCATAAATTCTGTCACATGTTTAATGTAAAATAATTGAAACAAGTTTATTCATTATGTAACCATTCATAAGTAATACTGAAAACGACTAGACGTGTTATTGTAGTTCTAACCGATTTTATTTCTTATATGGTGTCAAGATTGTCTATACTAAGCCTTAAGTTACACTACCTTAATCAGTGAATCATAAGCTGTGAAACTGTGTAAAAATTATTGTTTAATATTGTGTTAAAACAGTGAATAAACCAAAAAATAATTTCAAAATTATATATTGATATAATAAAAAGAGGGTATGAAGAAGGTTTGAAGAATAAAAGATTGGACATTGAACTAACACAAAATTTAAACTTGAGTATATTCAATAAATTAGCACGTTAATTTAAAGACGCTGCGGTCAAGCGGTTAGTCAAACGAGTTTTATGCACCCGTCAGCTGCACAGGCCTCAAGATCGAATCCTGCAAAGCACATATTTTTTTCCTTTTTTTCTTTTTGGCAAATACATTTATAATTTTTATACATAGAACTAGTAATTAATTTCGACAGTAAGAATATAATTTGGGAAGATAAAAGAAGGGAAAAATGTCATCAGTCCCAAAGATTTGTTCTGGATGTAAAAATAAACAAAGGAAGGAATACATGATATGCTCCGCATGTGGCTTAGGTTATGATTTGTTATGTGCTAATATAACACCTAAATCTTACTTTCTTATGGATCAAGACCGTAAGAATAACTGGAGTTGTCAGGAATGTCGTAATAAGATACCGAAATCTGACAACACAAATACTCCTGCTAGAGCAGTGAGTCGATCCGCCACTTCTGATGAAGATAACGGTCTTGGAGAAGAAAGAAATATTACTTTGCGAACAAAAAAACAGAGCTCGAAATGTGACAGCGATGGATCCTACGTTACTGAAGGACATTTACGTATCATTATTAAACAGGAGATAACAAAAACTATCAAACAACTAGTTTCTGAACACTTATCGAATATTTCCCAACAAATAGCTGACTTCCACGAATCCTTAACATTTTTTAATAAACAATACGAGGAACTCAAGCAAATGGTAAGCGAGAGGGACGATACAATTTCTGATTTAGTTTCTAAAAACAATAATTTAACAATACAAGTGAAGAATTTGACAAATAGACTGGGGCAAGTAGAACAAAGCATGCGTTCCCCAAATATTGAGATCAATGGTATCCCTGAAAATAAATCAGAAAATTTAATAACGACTATTGAGCAGCTGGGTAGAATTGTCGGAAATCCTTTTGGCGACAGCGACATTCTCCACGTAACACGTATTGCCAAACTTAATAAGGAGAATGACCGTCCTCGCTCCGTGATTATTAAACTACGTAGTCAGCGCCGTCGCGATGAGTTGCTGGCTGCAGTTACTAAGTTCAATAAGAAGAATTTAGACAACAAATTGAATTCAGAGCATCTAGGAATCGGGGGACGTCGTGTGCCAGTATTTGTATCTGAACATCTAACGCCGATAAATAAACACTTACATGCGGCCGCTCGTAAGAAGACAAAAGATACTGGTTTTAAGTTTATATGGGTGAGGGATGGTAAAGTTTTCGTAAGGAAAAATGAGCAGAGTCACGTTATATATATTAAAGACGAAGAAAGCTTAAAATTAATTGCCTAGTGTGATAAAATAAATTTGATCAACTGATTTATAATAGATTTTTTTTAAAGATGTCTGTAAATATATATTACCAAAACGTGCGCGGCTTGAGAACTAAGACAGAAGATGTACTTAGGAATATAGCTGTTAATAAATTTGATCTAATAGTATTCACTGAAACTTGGTTAAATTGTAATGTTTTAAGTAGTGAATTTATGGACAAACGTTATGTTGTATATAGGAAGGATCGATCGTGTTCGACGAGCTCCAAGGCAGATGGAGGGGGTGTTATGATCGCAATATCTAAACATATCCCATCTTATAGGCACTTAGGTTGGGAAAGTACTGCTGAAGATCTATGGGTGTCAATCGATATCAAAACTAACAACTTGATCAAGAAAGTTTCTATTTGCGCTGTTTACCTTCCCCCTCCAGTTTCCTTCGAGCACTTGTCTAGTTTTCTGGAAAACTCTACAAATGTTATCGAGCAATCTGATCAAGTGATAATTTTGGGTGATTTTAATTTGAGTCATATTGGTTGGTCTCAAAAGTCGGAAAGCTCTCCATGTAGTGCAATGAATTATGGATCTAAATTGGGACTTTCTCTTATTGATTTCATGTCAGTTAATAATTTATCACAATTTAATAACGTGAATAATGTGGATGGTAAAATATTGGATCTTGTTCTTACTGATTTCAACGGATTGGAAGTTACTGAATCCAATAATGTATTGAGCAAAATCGACCAAAAGCATCCTCCTCTGTTAGTTTCCTTACCACAACATAGTCCCCATTTCCTCAAACCTATATTGAGACCCCGATACAACTATTTTCGAGCAGATTATAGTCAAATCGTATCCTATTTAATAAATGTTAATTGGAGTGAAAAGTTAGAGGGGTGTCAAAATGTAAATGAAATGACTGACATATTTTATGATTTCATTTATACGGCTATTGATTTATTTACTCCACGAACGAAGCCTGTGTCTACTAAATTTCCCCCATGGTTTACCAACTCTCTAAAAAAGACTATTTCCGAGAAAAATAAAGTGAGGTATCGATTTAAGAAATATAAAAATCCGCGCGACCAATTAGAATTTGAGCTCCTTCGAGAGCGTGTTCACAAATTGAGCGAGCAATGTCTTCATGTATATAAGAAGAGAATTGAAGTTGATATTTGTAGGAATCCTAAAAGCTTTTGGCGCTTCATCAAAGATAGACGAAATGGTGAGACCACTGTACCAGCAATTATGTACCAGGGAAACCAGATCGCATCTACCGGACCGCAAATCGCACAGATGTTCGCAAGTTGCTTTTCGTCAGTATTTAACAGAGATTCCCTAGCTGATTATGTAGACTTTTCTTTTAATACAACTCCTGTAAGTCGTATTAACATATCAGAACGTGACATTCAACGCCCAATTAAAAAGCTAGACATGTATAAAGGTGCTGGACCAGATGATATTCCCCCGGTTTTTGTTAGACGTTGCGGCTCTGCTTTTATTTTCTGCTTTGCTTTTATTATCTTCAACAGATCCTTGAATGATGGTGTATTTCCAGACATTTGGAAGAGCTCTAAAGTAGTCCCAGTATTTAAGAAAGGCGCCACAAGCAATGTTAGTAACTACAGACCAATTTCCATACTTTCATGCATTCCAAAGCTCTTCGAGTCACTTGTCTGTCCTTTTATTACACAGCATCTAAATAACTTTATTTCTGAACATCAACANGTAGTTAGCTCTTGTTTTCATGTTGTTTTCAAATATATATATTGCTGTAACATGTCATAGTGTGTTATAAGAGATTGCTGTACATGCCTGTAACTGGCTTACATACCAGTACTTAATTTTATACATGTTAATTTTAAGCTTGAATGTTTTGTGTGTATTGCTGTTGGTGTGTCTAAATAAATAAATAAATAAATAAATATACCAAAATGAACTTAACAAAACATAGATTCTTATGACACTAAAGTTTATTCAAAATGACCTCCGTGATTTTGAATACAGGCCTTCAATCTGCGCGGCCAGTCGTCTATCGCAGCACGAACGAGGTCCATGTCAATATCGGCGGCTGCCTTAATCAAGGATGTCTTGAGTGACTCCAAATTGGGATGAGGCTTTGAGCACGCCTTTTCCTCCAAGTGTTGC